TAATATAATAATAATAATTCTTAATACTTCCGAAATGAGTTTCATTCACAAACAAAAAATAGTCTAAATTTACAGACGGACACTGAACTGTTAGACAGCGCTTATGATAATTTAATAATCAACAAATAACGCTTCCTCTCTTCAATGTTTTTCTTTATTTATGCTTTTAGTTATTATACCAACACATATTATTTATTAGTCAGATGAGTTGTAACATTTGGTTGGTTATGTCAGGCTCTGTCTTATTAACGAAATTCGCCATTCACTTTATTTATTTTGTTTATACATAAGAGTCTTTACATCGTTGTTATTTATTAACGAAACTCATGTAAGTTCAAAATGTATCTATGTATTTAAATTAATTATTAAGGTAAGGTTCTGCGTTTCTTAGTATTATATGCGTGCGATTAATTGTAACTTTTAACTCATTTCATTATTGTACAGTATATCAGGAAATACAATGATTTCGCTAATGTAAATCCTAAGGATCCGAACAAGGATCGAAACGTATGAATTTATCTGAGAAATTAAATAAAGAAACTATTTTACACCAAGATCCAGTGCATGGCTCACAAAAGTATTAATTTATTGATGAATTCATCTCAAAGGAACTTTGATTCAACGTAACTTTATTTTATAATTCTTAATATGTTATTTAATATTTTTGAATATTTTTAATATATTGAATATTTTTCTCAAATTATAAACGTATTAACAAATGTTTCTATTAATTAGAATATTATACTATTTTTTATACATATAACGTAGATAAAATTCTAATGTTTCATAAATTATTTTTTAACATATACGCTATATACCTATATAAATTTTATACATTTACATTTAATAAACGTGTAATATACCAACATGTATTTATTAGGCAATATATAAAATCATTAAGTACTGTAGTCAAAATATGTATCATAGACGTATATTATGAGTAGTTGTATAACCATTTATATGGACATTTTAAAAACATAGATTATACCATTTGCACAATAGTATTTTATAAACATTTACAAATGAGATTTCTTTTATAAATAACATATGTTTTCAATAAATAGTTTTTTTTGATTACATAAACATAGATACGCTCTTAAAATTAAAGATTCTTTTTTTTTTCGTATATTGATTTTCAAAATCAATTATGTAAACATAATAAAAATGGATTATCATATATTACACGATTGTAAAAATTAAAATGTTTATCTGCTATACCACTTTTATTTTCATACTATTATATTTTTATATCTACTTTACATTTAATGAATGTTTAACATATCATCATGTGTTTATTGGGATATTATGCGTACGCAATTCACATAATCCAAAAATGAAAAACATTATCCGCGATAAAGATGGCTTTCGTTTTATAACAGACAAGTGGAATAAATTGCCGACGTTGTAATGCATGCGTCTCGTTATCTACTGATAACATATCCTGCAAATGGGTTAATCGCTATTAAAAATTATAATATTGATTCGGTAAGAATTTGCAAGCTGTCATAAAGCATTTTTTTATTAACGCAGATTGTAAGTCGATTACAAACATATTGTGTAATCCCATTTACGGAGACTATATTCAGTAATACAACGTATATGACGTATAAACGTTGATAAAAATATAAAAACAAAAGTCTCAAGAGAATTGCTCTTCATACAATAAAAAAACAATATAAACTATAACAAGAAAAACAGTTATAATAAAAAATAGTTATTAAATTATTAAAAATTGTTAGAGAACGCTCGCAAGAAGTAATTGCGATCCTTTTCAGGCATAGAAGATATTTTCATTTCGAATTAAACGACGAGCTGTTATGAATAAATATCTTCATTGGCTTCGACGGCGATCTTTTTTCTTTAAATCGGATATTTTCCATAGATATGGCCGCTCCTAGTGCGTCTTATCAACCATTTTCGGGATATCGTCTTAGAAACAAAATGATTTGCCTGTGTCTTCTGAGAATAATTAATGTGGCTAGAGTGGGCGTTGAAATGCGAGATTCTAGATTCTAAAGCACAAAAAGAAATAAGAGAATTGATTTCATGAAACAGATTCAGACTGTCTGTAAAATCATTGCGTTATTTCATATATTGGCCTGATCTTAATTTCAGCGATACATGTAAACATATATATGATATGTGTATTTAATTAATCATTTTAATGCGTATTGTACAATTTAGTACATCATTCTTTGAATACATCGCTGAAATTAAAATAATTTAATAGAAAGTTACTAATTAGTATCAAATGCACGATGTAAACAATTGTGTATTTACGATATCGCGCGACAAAATGTTAAGTTATAATTAGCATCATTGGAGAAAATTTAGAAACTTTAGAAAATCAAGAAACACACTTAGTCGACCACTAACTAAAAATAATATAATATCAATGTTATAATATTGTATTCACAATGTAACTGTTATATGTACGAGTATAATACATGTGTTAATATCACAAGTTAAATTCACTATCTATTTAACAATTTGATGCTCATAAGCATTTTAAAACAATCTTAAAAATGCTAAAAGACATTAAAATCTGTAAATAATTTTATTGCGAAAAATATTACCTCGACTGGGATCAAATCCACATTTCTTGTATATCGTGCGAGCGTCTCAATTTTTATTATTTAGATTATAATAAGAGGTCTTATAGTAATATTCTTCGCAATAATTGGCATATAGGAACAATGTATTATTTTAGGAGATGTAAATAAACTATATTAAACTAAAAATTTCATAGGATCGTACACATGCCAGTTATTGCAGAATAAGATCTCGCGGTATTTTAAAGACTTAGCACGCTTGTACGGAATGCAAGAGATTCGGGTTCAATCCCCGATCAAAGTAATATTTTTTATAAAAGCAATAAAATTATATTTACAGATTTTGATCATTAGCATTATTAAGATTGTTCTAAAATGCTTATGAGCATCAAATTATTAAATTGCTAGTCAATTTAACTTGTGATTATTGCAGTAGTTCAGTGGAGTTTGCGTTTCAAGACTGAAAAATCATTTCCGTGCATATAACAATTACTTTTTCCTCTTTTACAGGTTTGAAAAACCTTTCCCAAGATTAAAGTGCATTAATACGTGTCTGTGAAATGGAGTTTATGCCGAGAACGACAAAAAATTTTTCTTAAGATTTCAATTTCAAAATTTTTTGTCGTTCTTGGCATAAATTCCACCTCACAGACATGTATTAATGCATATACTTTAATCTTGGAAAAAGATTTTCGAATTTATAAAAGAGGGAAAGTAATTGTTATACAAAAATTATGAATTAGTCAGTGATACAGACAGTTTTAGGATTTCTTTAATTGATCTGTGTTTCTCTTATATAAAAACCTTTGTGTCGTGACACACTAGCGTTTGAAATAACTGAACGCGAAATATTTTGCATCTTGGGAACGATGTCGCACGATGGACCAATCGTGTCGCCGTAAGCGTAGAAGCAATTCGTTAATTCCGTTGTAAAATACCAGAAGGATGACTGATCCTTTTCGAGATCCACGGAAATCCTATTATGAAAAAAGATCTTGATTAAATTTCTAACTTTTTATTAATAATTATTGTAAATATAATAATAATTA